ATGGGCGGTGAATGGACGAACTAGTCGAATCAACCGTCCACGTCCAATCGACGTTTCTACGGGTCTACTGGGGGGTCTACCGTTCTTCGGTTAACTAGTAGAATTCGTAGACGGCTAAACGGAGAGTCCACGCGTTAATCAACGCTCTGCGTCACGAGACGACGCGCGAACTCAGTCGAATTATACATAGACTTACATAGACAAATTATTTTGAACTTTAAATTCAGTAAGTGTAAGTTGATATTTGAATATGTGCGACGAAGTAAGATAGGTCTGTTATGCTACTTATTATTGCAATAGTGCACTCAATATAGAAAAAGGATGACGGTGTAGTTAATTCGCTAGCGCGAGAGAGAGGCGTTGCGCCCGTTGTGGCGCAATGCCCTTGAATCTATCGGAATTAAACTCTATTGCAGTATGTTAAAAGCGTCGATAGCCGCGCTCATATTGGCTCAACTGTACATTACCATCGCACGAGTTGAGAGTTGAAATTAATATGGTGAATAGATTACATAGTTAGCAGTGTAATCCTAAAATATTAGCTTTAGGAAACTCGTAGTTTTGATAATAAAAATTATTGAAATATTCGAAAATAGATGATAGGAAACAGGTTTTATAGGTTAGGAAAGCACAGCGTTTGGTTGTTGCAGTATTTTTTTTGAAATAACGCAAAAAAAAATAAACATTTTCGTAAAAAAAAATTGAACGAAACGCCTCGTTCATTTTTCTTTACGAAAATGTTTATTTTTTTTGCGTTATTTCAAAAATTTTCCGCAGTATTGAATTAAACAGCACAAATTAATACGTAATTATAAATTTAACATACAAATTTACTATAATTAGTATGTAAGCTTTTATTTTTGAATAATTATTTTTGTTGCAAAAAAATAACGAAACGCGTAAAGAACGCCATGTTGTTTGTTGTTGTTTACTGTTTGATGTATGCATCAATTAGGATTTTGCGTTTTTGCCTGGTTTTAGGTTTAAATTTAGGTTTTCATATAACACAGGAAGTGGGGTTGGGGGTGGGTTTTTCCCGCTAGGGGTTCGGGGGGAGGGGTTTACCCCGCTCTTTGGTGCGAAAACATGATTTTTTGAGGTTATTTTTTTCGAATTTTCAAAAATTAATATCTCGAAAACTATTAACTTCCTAACTTTGAAACTTTGCACGAAGGGTTCCCTCCCCTCCAACCCCACCCCCCTCCCACCCCACAAATCGTGCGATGGTAATGTACAGTCCTTCCTTCAGTTAAACTCGCCTCACGAACGAAAACCAACTTAAGTTGAATGATCGACTAGTCGACGAATTTAACTAGTTGACCGACTAGTTGATAGTCGACGATGGACGGTTGCGTTTCGTTAACGGAAAACGCGTCGACGACCCATCTTTAAAGTGTAGTGACAGCGACTAGTGTTGAGTTAGGTACTCATACACGAGGCAACTCGTTTGTACCACTCGCTTGGTTGGTTTGCCACAATACTTCATGTCATAAAAATGTCCCACCTCGCACTTCACTTCATGTCATAGTAGCCTCATGTCACAGCCTCACTCATGTCACACTTACATTATGTTACATTGGTGTGACAATGATTGGTCCTGCACTGCCCGCTTTTTAGCAAATTTTACATCAATATGATCAGACTACCATAGTAGGTACTAAATAAAATTAACATGTTGATACCATCAAGTTAGAGTCATTGCCTTAGGTGCTAACATTTTTACTATAACCTCACCACATTTGAAGTAGAACATTGCACCACCTCATTTTTTCTTTATTCCCTCAAACTCATTTTGATTTTACGTCCTACCCAATACTAATAGCGACAGTTGTGTGCGAAACCAAGTCAGTGTTCCCCGCCGCGTTCAGGATTTACTATCCAATAATGAGTCTTTTATCCCACTCTATGGGTACTCAATGCTCAAGTCAGGACTTGAGCAGACTGGAGTATGATTTCAAGCACTAGAAATACGACCATAATTGCAAGGACTTGAGTATGATTTTCAGTGCTTTAAATCATACTCAAGTCTTGACTTGAGCATTGAGTTCTGGAATACGACCCCAAAAGTTTAGTTTAAGTACGGTAAAAAAAATTTAATTTTTAACATCCTATTTATGTAAATAATTACTAATTTAAATTTGTTCTAATTCTAAGCCTTTGTTTTGTTTTTGTTAATGATAAAATGTTTTCGACTGAAGGACTTTGTATCCAGGTCATGCAATAAAGTTAAAAGTTAAAGAAAAAAGTTTGCCCGTCGAAACAGGATTTTATGTTTTTGTGCTCAGAATAATTATGTAAATACGCTGAATGTGATAAAGCAAATAACTGAGCGGCCGCATCACGTATACCGGTCATTTTCCTCTTCGCGCGAGCTTTATTTGTCATTCTCGCGTCTACGACCGCCGCCATACACACGTTTTAAACAAACTTTACGTCGCATTTAAATATCTCAAATAATACTCTTGTGTTTTGTGATATCGCCTAGTATAAAATCTTATGCAGTTTCGGCAAAATGAGTGCTATCATATTACTGGTTTTAAGTGTCTTCGTTTTAATACACGGACAATATATTCCACCTTTACCAACTACGGAAGCGCCCGACATAGTGTCTACGCATCTTCATAGTGGACTCACAGAGCGGATCGGAAACTTTTCTATCGAATTACTATACCATACATCTAGACTGCAACAAAACACAAACCTAATTCTGTCTCCTATTACTGTCTGGACAGTACTTGCTGTTATTTCTGAAGGCGCATCTGGTGAAACGGCGAACGAAATTTATAACGTTATAAGAATATCGAGCAGACATAAAAACTCTACACGACACGCTTTTAAAGAGATCTACCCGTGGCTTCAAGTGAACACAAATACGGTACAACTATCAAAAGTAAATGCTATATTTATGGATCAAAACCGTTTATTGCTTAGAGATTTTCAAGATACAGCAGACGAAGTATACAAGACTAAAATATTGGCTTTGGACTTCAGTGATACACAAAAAGCTGCCGATTTAATTAATCAAGGTGTATCACAGTTTACAAGAGGACAAATTACTCATTTAGTTGATGGCAACCAACTTGATGTGACGTCCCTATTTGTTGTCAGCTCATTGTACTTCAAAGGCCAATGGACAGTCCCATTTAACACGACATCGACAGCTAGAATGCCATTTTTAGACAGCAATGGTCAGAAGGTTGGTGAAGTCAACATGATGTACAATCGATACAACTACCCTTTTGCTAACATGAAGGAACTTCAAGCTAAAGTTATTGAAATACCCTATGGTGTAGAAAATCGTCTTTCTATGCTTATTATGCTTCCAAACCCTGGGGTGTCACTAGAAAATATGTTTTTCAACTTTGGAAAAGTACCTTTAGACATAGTTTTCAAGGAGCTACGAATATCTAAAGTGGATTATAGCGAGGCAGAAGTAGACTTATTCCTTCCTCGCTTCAAAATTGAATCTAATATTGACTTGACCGACATTTTGAAGCAGAGTATGGGAATTCATGATTTATTTGACGAGAAGCAAGCACGGTTACCACATATGGCAAAAACACCAATGTTTGTAAAAAAAATTATTCATAAAGCTAAAATTGAGGTTACTGAAGAAGGGACTATAGGTTCTGCAGTGACCGCTGCTGAATTTAGTAACAGAATTGGAATTGTGCAATTTATGGCGAATAGACCTTTTTGCTATATGATTATTGAAAAACTAACAAATTCAATTGTTTTTGGAGGATTGTATGAACACCCAACATTGTATTGAGGCTTATAGCTTTTTCCCAAATACCGTCACCCAATTAAGTCGCACATAAAAATAAGTCACAACTTATAGACACAAATTACAAGATACAAACAAGGCATGACATTGTTATGAAGGTGTGACATGTTATTTTTTTAAGTACAAAATATTGTGAAACAATATTTTTGTTGTAGTCTGAATGTTAAGTCTAGGATAAAATGAACAAAAACTGTCATAGGCACACAAGTTTATAGAGTTGTACAGGCACACTTCCTGGCACAAAATGTTATGAAAGATAAATACTCAACACAAGGATAAAATTCAAAATACATCCTTATTTTGAGCTTGACCTTGGACAATTTTGTCTCCAACTGTTTCAATTGTTTTTAATCAGTCCTCATGAACCTCCAGTTGAATGTGTTAATAGATGCTCCCAATTTTCATCTTCCATGTGTCTCTACTTCTCTTACCATTTCTTAAGTACCATACATACACTACCATATATACACATACTCATACATTTCTATCATAGTGTTATACATGGTGCGTGTTCTAGTTTATGAAGCATTGAACCACAAAAAGTGACTTAATACATTGTACCTAAAACTGTAATTTTTTATAATTATAAGACGTTTGTATTTTAAAGCACATTCTCATATAATTAAAGTAGTGGGATTTGTGTTTCACAACACAATAGCATAAACAAATAACAAACACAGTTAATGGATGCAGGAAAAACAAGAATTTCCTGTTTCTCTTGCCAATGTATGATAAAATACCAACAATAAATAATATAAAAATCATATGGAAAAATTTAAATGACGACTTTGTGTCATTTATAAAAAATAGCTTTAGAAATGTTAAGTATGGACGGCATATACAGCTACACATTGATGGATCTTGTGCCATTGCGCTTGAAGCGATATTCAAACAAAACTGAATGTGCTGTTGATTGTACAGTAATGAGATAGATAAAGGTGCTAATTTTTGTGATAAGCATAGATCTGAAATGTGTAATGAATTTTATAAGAATTTTGAACTCTTACCCTATTAAAAATTTGGTTTTATTTATGACTTTTTCTCTGAAAAATTTTAATCTTTTGACCGCCATAGATGCTTTAAAGCGTCAATGAAACCATGTGTTATTCGTATATTCTAGTTAACTATGGATTCATAGTCGCATCTTATATTCAGTTGTGTTTTTCTTTAACTTAAGAAAATTAAATTAATATACGGTTAAAATTCATAACATGTCACACACTTGGCGTCTGGGAAACAAAACTGGTTTTTGTCAATGGCGGCGGCGGTGAAAAGGTGAACATGTACATTAACAGATATTGTCCCGTTACTCTGGGAGGTGATATTCGAGCAAAAGCGTGTAGTGGTGTGCTGTTTACTTTACAAATTTCCTTCCTCTTTAAGTCAATATAATGACATTTATTATAATTTCATAATCGAAGCACAAAAACATTCAGTAATAGAGGTTATCATATACTAACTATACAACGAGTAATGAGTTTCATTTACTTGTTATGAGAGAAACCATTATCTTCTTAGCAAGGTCATCCTGATTGTGCTTAAGCTCGTTATATTACGAGACAATTACTGCCTTTACATTAATGCTTTGATTTGTAAAATTGTACCAATTTTGTGGTACCCACCAAGACAAAATAATGACCCTTAGCATAATTGTTACTTTTACAAAAGCAAATGCCAGTAGATTGCACATTGGTTAAAATAAAAATATATGTTTCATTGTGACGGATGGAACTTTAAATTTGTATTTATTGAAACTTCAATAACTCATCACCACATATATCTACCTATGCAATCACTTATCACTGTTTTAAAATTCGTAAATTGTATTTTCTTCGTCAGTAATAACTTTTTTAGAAAGGCGCACAAGTTATCCCGAAAATTGTTAACATAAGAACAAATGCTTCACTATAGACGACAGTACTATGGCTGCGTTAATAAAGACAAAAAGTACAACAATTGTACAATATCCGAAAAATCGCATTTATTTCTAATGATTTGATTTATTGAGCGTATTCTAGTCATACAATTAAAAACAAATTGTGTAATTAATTATTTTGAACCGCGGTGTCATTTTCGCTGGAATGACCCAGAAGTAAAAATAAACAAGGTGTTTAATTCGTAAATTTGTACCACAAAACTGGCTCAATTTCTAAATAAAAGGCAAAATACTCAAAAAACGCGACTCACAAGATTACGCACGTGCGGCCTCACCTTTAGTTTTCGTACTCCAACCCAAACATTGGGCTAATCTCGTTCTCCATCCGAAACAAACTATTGTCAAATAAGTAGGTACTCGAGTACTGCTTATTACTTTTGGTCTACCAAATTAATGGACAATGTCCAGTATGAAGCTTCATTCGCATCATAGGTCTATGACCGCCAGTGACATAAACTTTCGTTCCCTAGACGCCAATAAGCCTATATGTTGTTATATTTAGTTATAGTGATGTTACATGTTACGAATTTTAACCATAAATTAATTCAATTCTCCTGAGTCAAGGAGAATGCAAACTATAAATTAATACAAGATGCAAAATGACACGAGGAATATTTATTTATTAATTTCAATTAAGAATTAAAGGGTTTCATGGATGCTTTAAGGCTTCATTGGCGTATCAGTCAAGTTAATGAAAGACGCTATAAAGCATCCACGGCGGTCAAAGGGTTAACAAAAATCACGCAATAAACATAAAAAAAAAATATGTGTTTCAAACTGTAAGTTATTTAAAACGATAAATATTATAATGGCCAGCATCAAACTGTTAATGTTTGAGGTGGGCCACCACCAATATAAGTTTTGAGTATTTCTATTTTATACGTAAAAGGTGAACCACGGGAAG